AAAGAGTTCTATCTCATCATTTTGTGTAAATTTCTTGTAATGGTTTCTAATAAAGTGGGTGAATAATGTAGGAAGTGTCGGCAACTGCTCTAATTTTTTAAAAGCTTTCTCTGGGCCCTTGGTCACATCCCCCTCGGGTTCATTTTCTGTGGATATTTAAATGCTGGAATTTCATTAGTGCAATTATTCATGGAAATTGATTTTCAAAGTTGTACCTCTGAATGTTCAGAGAAGTTGAATTTGAAATGTGCACAAATGTCAGGATTTGTGACCAAAGTGCTCGTATCCTTACCCCGTCAGAGACCAGACGCATGAGGCTTATCCGGACAATGACAATAAAGTTACACTGCTCGCATTTTGGATATTTCCAATCAAACCAAACAAAAATGTACAATGAAAAGATACTTTCCATTGGAATAATTAGCAAGTTTCATGAAACCTCAGTCTGTTGGAGGACGTTCAGCGAAAAAAACCAACCCTGATTTCAGTGACCAAATTATTTATAATGAAGTATTTGATATGCTCAACAGTTTCTTGACATTTTCTAGATGTCTGAGTGTTACTTCTGTAACTAAAGTATTTTAGAGAAACACCCCCTCTGACTTGCTGGACTTTGTATGCACTTCTGCCTGCCAGCAGAGCCAGGAGAACCCTTTTAATCCGCAGAAACAGTTCTAACAGCTGAAGTACACTGTCAACTTTCCACCAATACCAAGTGTAGTTACCCTACATGAGAAGGCTTTTCTATCTGCAAGTTGCTCCTAGCATATCTTCCACCTGATGACAGGGCAAATATATTCACTGGTCATTCAGTATATGAAGGAAAACAAATGCTAAAGCTTCACAAACCCCAGGACATCTCTCCAGCTGCTAATCAAGAGACTTTGAGCGAGAGCTGACCATTTTGAACTCTATGAAACCGAGCTGTGGAGGCATCTCCTCCTTAGCTTTCGCCAAAGCATATTGGCCTTGACAGCTCTGTCCATTTAATTTTCTTTTCCTGTACTTCTGGATCAACGGTGGTGAAAACACATTAAAAATACAAAACAACTTAAAATAGGGCTTGGGAGAAACTGAATCCCTTTTGGAATAAAAAAACCCAAAATACTTGGCAGTTAATCCTGACCGTTAGTTATGAGACACACACATTCACGAGTAGTAGCTTTTGTCTTTGTATTCCACAAAATTTTTTCCACAGTCCAGTCAGACATCTTTCCGTTTTGCATAGTAACTTTGCATTTGCACAAAATGCTACCAAATCAACCTTTTTCTGCAGAACCCACTGAGTGTTTGGGAGCGTTTATGTGCGGCTCTTTGCAAATACCTCCATCACAAAACATACATCTGGACACAGGGAAGCTGTTCGATGAAGTAACGGTAAAACCAGTTTATTCCGCGCTCCAGGTTTCCCCAAGGAAACAGCAAAAAGGTTGGACGATGCAGTTTCATGGTGCTGTAAAATACCAGCTCCAAAGAAAAGCGTCCCCAGATATCAGAGAGTTTCGGTCCTCTGGAATTGAGATAGCTAGTCTAGCTGCACACCTCTAACGCATCAGCTTAATGAATCTACCTGTAATAACTGATCGTTCCCAGATCACTAAGCAGAAAACTCACCATTTTTACCCAGAATAAAAGCGCTAAAGAAGAAATGACAAGGAAACCATTAAACTTTTTGACTTCCTTTAAACTTTGAGCTGTTTTCCCAGTGCTAGGAGAACGGTCCGCCATCACTGGAAGGATCCAGGTCCCTGTGTACCACGCCGAGAATTTAGATGAACCGTCACAGAGGCTGTGCCATGAATAATGAATAACCCCCTCTCTCTCGGCACCATTTTGACGGACACAAAATAGGAGTTTTGCAATTGCCATGAAATTCAAACATGGTGGGGGCAGCCCAGGGAGTAACATCTTTAGGTCCAGCTCTCCGCACAAGTGGGAGACAGTATCAGGAGCACAAGGCTTAATAAGACCTGCTGAATAAAATGAGCATTTGATCAAGGAAATCTGACGTGTTTGAGAGCGTCCAGAGTTTTGAAGGTAAGACCAAACGCAAAATGGAATGCAGAAGCAGCCTAAGAAAGCAACATATAAAGGAAGCACCAGTGACAGCCTGAAAATAAACCTGTAAAACCAGCGTAACCTCAGAGGAACCTCTTTTCATGAAATGAAATGAATGAAAACGATTACTTACCCAAATTTTCAATGGAATAATAACGCTGTTTACTGTCCACCCGCACAGTCTCAGCATATGGGCTCCCCACGCCGTAGCCGATGATGTACCCGCGGACGACAATGTTGGGGTTCAGCGGCGGAGTCCAACTCATGACGATGCTTGTTGTCAAGGGCCTGACATGAAGAGAGCTTGGCTGGTCAGGAACCTGAGATTCTGGGATTCAAAAAAAAAAAAAAAAAAAAAAAAGTAGTATAAATTAACATTCTATTCAAGGTTTGAGTTTAGATTAAAATATTTGCGCAAAAAACCCAACCGGGTGCCCCAGACTTACATGCAGAGCTTACATGCAACTCCATTTCTGAGCTACACCCTTCCCTCCCACGAGCACCGATATGCCTCATCCTGTTTTAAACAGCCTAAGGCTAAAATGACGCAGGAAAATGAAAGATGACCTGCAAGAGAACTTCCAGGAGGACAACTCTGCCCTTCCCTGGTCTGTCT